AATACCATGGGATAAAGTGCTGGAGGGAAGAGGGGCTCAAGTGAGCTGGATGATATTCAAGCATCTTCAAACTCAGGATTGATGCATTCCAACAAAGAGGAACTTGGGCAAAAACACCGGGAGGTCTGCTTGGATAAACTCAAACACCAAAAAAAAGTCTACAGGGTGGAAGCAGGGACAGGTAGCCTAGGAGGATACAGACAGTAGCCAGGGATCAKGTTAGGGAAGTTTAAATTCGGAGACAATTTAATCTGGCTAGGGACATCAAAGGCAATGAGAAAAGCTGCTGGTGTTGTGCTGGTGCAGAATACTTTTTTTTTTTTAATTGCCATAAATAGTGTAATTCATCTTAACTGCTTTGAGAACAAGAACATGCACCTTGGATGAGTAAGTTGTAATAGATGATGTACTGGTTTTATTTCTTGCTGGCACATATTGTACTAYTGGCTGTACTTTAGGAATATGTCACTGGACAAACTTGTCCCTCATTTTTCTCTCTAGTCCATGTGTCCTTTTMATTTTTTTCTCCTGTTTTTTACTGTCATAGCCTCAAGTTTATAAAATTATTCTCAAGACAAACTGAAAATAATATTAGAGTTCTGACAGAAACTGAGCACAAGACATTGTTTTTATCATATTTTTCTTTTTTTTTTTAATTTTTTTTAGCAAATCGAAAAGGTTTTAGTGGCAAACCATAGCATAAGGCATACCCCTATTGTCTATTTCCCAATTACAGATCACTGTTCTGAACAGTGACTTGGTGCACCTGCTTCCTAGTGCTGTTTGAACCTGTGGGAGGAGCAGATACCTTGTTGGGATTGAGAGCTGCTGGTGTAACTGTTTTAGGGAGATAGTACTTGACTCCCACGTGGAGCCTGCCTGCGACACAGGTTTGATGGAGAGCTGAAATTCCAGGTAAACCCGAAAGCCTAATGTGAAACAGGGACCCTAACTACCTGCAAAATAGTAATGCCTACCCATTGCTTATGAGCGTAATGGCAAGAGCTACTTGTCCTGGAAGGAGGAATACGGGGCTCTACACCCTCATGTGGTGAAGGGGATCTGACGCTTTTATTTTCTACAGGCACGTCTGCTTACTAGCCAAAAGAGGAGTGTGGGTTGCCATTCGTGTTGGAGTTGGGTCACTTTACAGGGAGGGGTTCTTACAGCCAAGCTGATGTAGCACAGGCTGGATAAGCATTGAGATGTGTTGGAGGCTAAGGTTTTTGGTTTTCTGTTTTTTCTGTTTCTTACGGAATTTCCCCTCATTTTGTTGCTTAAGGAACAATAGTGATTAAAGGTATTTAAGASAGACAAAAGGAGTTGCCAAGTTCAGGGCAGGAGGGCACCTGGTTGCACTTCTCTTTACTGAAGGTTTCTCTGGGAAGAGCAGAGATACCGTGAAAATGGGCTGGAGCAGCTCCTAGCTCTCTTGCTCTCCCAACTTYGGAGCAGGGTGGTCAAGCTGCTGCCTGGGGGGCAAGAATTTGCTGCCGCCACCAAGCCCAGCRTCCTGCTTTTCTCTTTCTGCGGGCAAGTGTTCGCGCGTAAGAGTGGCCATTGCACTGGGACATTTTTAATATCCTACCTCACCAAAGGACCCTTCCCAACCTGCTGGGGTGCCTCAAGGAAACCCCGGGATCCCTGAGCACCCTCCTCCTCCAAGGGAGTYTCTCTCAGCTGTGYTGGGGAGCCGGATGGGCACTGCCCAGCCCCCGCTRTTTCCCTGCCACTGCTCTGAGGTTTCTTTGCCACACTGTAACTCGCATCCCCGTCCTGCCGGGAGCCCCCCGCAATAGCTGCCGAGTTTTCCTGATACATCTCGTCCACCACGMCGGGACTTTGCTCATCCCTGCCTCCCCAGCTTGTTACTCCCAGTTCCTGCTACAGCTTCTTTCACTATCCATAGAGGGCACCAGGATCGGCTTCCGCCGTGAGCTCATAAGAGAAGCCCCTTCTCCACCTTTCTGGCCGCTTGCTATCGCCATGGCCGTGAGGGAAAAGGCCGGGACCCCCTGCGCCACAGCGCCCCCTGGCGGCCTGGAGGAATCCACGCATGCCGGGAGCGCCCAGCGCCCCCTGCCGGCCGTGGCCGGAGCTGCAATAGCGGGGAAAGGTGCCGGCAGTCGGGAGTGCTGCTGCCCCACTCGTGGGTTTGTTCACTGCTGCCCCACTCGTGGGTTTGTTCACTGCTGCTCCGCTCACGGGTTTGTTCGCTGCTGCCCCGCTCGTGGGTTTGTTCGCTGCCGCTCCGCTCGTGGGTTTGTTCACTACTGCCCCACTCGTGGGTTTGTTCGCTGCTGCCCCACTCGTGGGTTTGTTCACTGCTGCCCCGCTCGTGGGTTTGTTCACTGCTGCCCCACTCGTGGGTTTGTTCACTACTGCCCCACTCGTGGGTTTGCTCGCTGCTGCCCCGCTCGTGGGTTTGTTCACTACTGCCCCACTCGTGGGTTTGTTCGCTGCTGCCCCGCTCGTGGGTTTGTTCGCTGCTGCCCCGCTCGTGGGTTTGTTCGCTGCTGCCCCACTCGTGGGTTTGTTCGCTGCTGCCCCACTCGTGGGTTTGTTCGCTGCTGCCCCACTCGTGGGTTTGTTCGCTGCTGCTCCGCTCACGGGTTTGTTCGCTGCTGCCCCGCTCGTGGGTTTGTTCGCTGCCTCTCCACTCGTGGGTTTGTTCACTGCTGCCCCACTCACGGGTTTGTTCGCTGCCGCTCCGCTCGTGGGTTTGTTCGCTGCCTCTCCTCTCGTGGGTTTGTTCACTGCTGCCCCGCTCATGGGTTTGTTCACTACTGCTCCACTCGTGGGTTTGTTCACTACTGCTCCACTCGTGGGTTTGTTCACTGCTGCCCCGCTCACGGGTTTGTTCGCTGCTGCCCCACTCACGGGTTTGTTCGCTGCTGCCCCACTCACGGGTTTGTTCACTACTGCTCCACTCGTGGGTTTGTTCACTGCTGCCCCACTCACGGGTTTGTTCACTGCCGCTCCACTCGTGGGTTTGTTCACTACTGCTCCACTCGTGCGTTTGTTCGCTGCTGCTCCACTCGTGGGTTTGTTCACTACTGCTCCGCTCACGGCTGCTCTGCTCACGGCTGATCCGCTCGTGGGTTTGTTTGCTGCCATTGTTGTTGTTTGCCATTTTATATGTACTAGTAAAGAACTGTTAATCCATTTCTCATATCTGTGCCTGAAAGCCCCTTAATTTCAAAATTACAGTAGGGAGGGAATGAGGTAATATTTTCCATTCCAAGGGAGGCTCCTGCCTTCCTTAGTACCTTTCAAACTTAGACAAGGTGGAGTAAAAATTGGTCTAACAATGGGCCCACACATTGGTGATCAGTATTGTGGAGTCYAGTTGGAGACAAGTGACTAGTGGTGTACTCCAGGGGTTAGTACTGGATCAGTCCTATTCCATATTTTTGTTAATGTTATAGGTTAGACTACTCTGGCAGAGTGTGCCCTAAGGCAGTTTGCTGATGACACAAAACTGGGAGGGGTGTCTGATACACCAGAGGGTTGAGCTGCTGTGCACAGMAAACTTGGCAAGCTGGAGAACTGGGCTGACAGGAACTTAATGAAGTTCAACAAGGAGGAGTGACAAATGCTTCATCTGAGGARGTACAGCCCCAGGCAGCAGTACAGGGGCCTGGCCAGGTGGAGGGCAGCATCACAGAAAATGGCCTGGGGATCCTGAACACCCAGAAGAACATGAGCCAGCAATGTGCCCGTGTGACAYGGGCTGGTTTCCTGGGCTGCACTYGAGCTGCAATCAGTGGGTCAAGKGAGGAGATCCTGYCCCTCTGTTCAGCACCACTGACACCATACATGGAGTATTTTGTTCTGGACTTCCCATAGCAAGAGAGACGTGGATGCTCTGCAGAGAGTTCAGGGAATAGCCACAATGATGATTAATGTACTAGAGCATATGTCATGTGGAAGCTGGGACTGTTCAGCSTAGAGAAGAGAAAGCTCTGAGATCTCATCAGTACCTGAGGAGAGGCTTCAAAGAGGATAGAAACAGAATCTTTCCAGTGGTAGRACCTGGGGCAGTGGGCACAAGCTGGGACAGGAAGCTCCCCTCAAACATCAGGAAATACTTTTCTTTTGCCGTGAGAGTGAATGACTGCTGCTTACCCAGGGAGTTTGTGGAGTCTCCAGAGGGAGATCTTCAAAAGCTGTGTGGGAGCTGGCTCTAGGAGCCTCTGTGAGGGTAGGGAGTTTGGATCAAATGGTCTGTCGGGGTCCCTTCCAAACATTCTGTGATTCTCTATGTGCTGACAGCAGTGCTTGAGGCAAGGAGAGTGCTTGATTTTTTTATTTTTTTTTTCTCATGGAACTCTAGATTCAGCTGTCCTTTTAGAAGAAATTAGTCTACTACTTTGCTTTCTCCTTCTTAACCTGGAGTTTGAGGTTTTTTGGCTGCACAAAAGGTCARCTTCGAAGAGAAAGCCAAAGAGAGGTGTCTTCCTTTGTCTTTGCAGAGTGTACTCAGGTCTGCTGCTAGTGACACTTAACAGGCATAAAACCAACATGAATTCACCCTCTTTTGGGTGAAAAGTGACCTGAACTATTGTCCACTTCCTGAACAATTTCTTTGTTAGKTGGTGATCCCTGAGATAGGCAGATCATTCCTTCTTCTGCAATAGCCTTAATTTTCTAAAGAATTCACTAAATGAATCTGCTTAGAAAAGACGAGGAAGGATGAATGTCAAGTGAATGGGGATACATTTCTTACCAGTTAYTTTATTATGATCTCCTTGGAAGGTAAAGCACTTGCAGAAGTGGTTTAGGTATACTTATCATTCTCTTTGTTATAGGAAATTACAGGAAAACTTCCTCAAGTGTCTCCATTGTTCAGGAAAGTAACACTTAGACAAAGCAATACTTCACTGGAATACACGTGAGAAAAGCTGAATGACATTATTAACTCTTACACAATTGCTGACTAAGTATTTCAAGGGCATCTTTGCTTGGAATAAATTATTTTTATTTTTGTTTTGTGACAGCATTTTCTGCGTGTAGTTAGTGAGAAGGAAATGTCTGACAATTTGATTTGGATGTTTGTCCTGCTCTGCAGCTCTGTAGCAGGTATGTTTCTGGATTATTAGCACTTGTCTTGCCATAAGAAAATTTTTCCAAAAGGTAACATTTTCCAAATGAAATTTCAGAGTTCGTAAAGCAGAAAAAGTGTATTTTGACAGTATAGATATAAAAATGAATTTATGGTAGTCTTGATGTCCTCTTGTTGACAGATTTATTTAGGAAATATAAATTATTATATTTAATAATTTCAAATTAATGAAATTTGGCTTCAAGAAATAAGTAGCAGCAAAAAAAGTCAGACAAAACCAGTTCCTTCCAGGTCTCTAATGGGTGATTCTCGCACTGCTTGGTAACTTTATGCTGAATTAATTTATTCAGTCCATTTAGGTGTTTTTCTGTTACATGTATTTTGTATACAATTCCTGCATTGTGTCTTGGAATCTAAGTTCTARGAGGTGTACAAACACTAATGAGATACTGAAATATATTACAGCTTAGTTGTAAATTTTAAACTTACTCATTTAATGTATCTTCAGATATTGTAAGTAGTAATGATAAATGCTTGTAAATTGTATGCATATCTTTTACATATAGGAACATTTTATAAAACAGGCTTAAAACACAAGATTTCTTCATATAGGGCTATTGAAAAACTATCTGATTTGAAATTTCCTCATTGTTTCTCTAAAGTTACACAAACGTCACTCTAGTGTAATACCTGTTGTAATCCAGTAATGTGAACTGAAGTTTCAAACAGCAATGCCTGATTTGAATGACTAAGTGGGCATTTTATTTAAACTCCCTATGAAAAAATTAATTAAATCATCTGTGGACAACAACTTACCATTTTTCCACTAGTATTTTAAGAGGRAWTWGGCTATGTGATGTCTTTGATTTTGYTTTTAGATRAAAACTCTGGAGATGCTGACATTTTTCCTTCATCTCCTACAATTGAAAGAGGATCCTCCCTGAAACTATTCTGTGTTCTTGGAAAGAGCTACATACCTCAGAGAAATGCAAGCCACATCATCTGGAAATTGAATGATGAATTGATTGCTCCAGAAAACTGTACCATTGTGAATGAGACTGTATCTAGTGTAACCATCCATAATTTCACTTACAGCACAGCTTACCTGAAATGTTTCATGAAGTACTTGGACAGGGAACAACTTTTGGTTCRCACAGAAGTTAAATCTGGCTGTAAGTAGAAAGGCAGAAAAAATAATCTTGGCATGTTTTAATAACTTACTGTAATAATGTTACTTTTAAAACAGCTAGTTTTGGTTGTGCCTTTTTAAAACATTTGTATTCAAGTATGTAGATATATATACACACACATGTATATACACACATATATACCTACATACATACATATATAAATATATGTATATGTGTATTTCTGAAATAAATAGTGAAATTACCAGCATGCCTTACTGATCCAGGTCTGTAACCTCTCTGACCCTGACTCTTGCCCAGCTGAAATTTTCTGTTKAGTTCCAAAGGTGCTGCGTGTGTCCCTTTGGTTATATCTTCTTTCTAGCCTAGCCAGCTTTAGCTTTCTCCAGAGAGGATTTCCTCTCTAATCCTCTCTTCTAAAGAAATTACAATTACAATCTCTTATGGAGAATGTTAAAATATGCATATGAATTCTCCAGTTTATTGAATAGATGAAGTCCAGATTATACTAACATATGCCTAGGGGTCCTATTCTAATAATGCAGCAATAAAAGCAAGACATCTGTAGAACAAAATCCAGCAAAAGGTCTTGCTTGTCTGCAAAGTTTAACGTGCTGTAAGCTTGTTGATAAAAGAAACATCTTTTGAGAATTCTGTTAGGTAGGACAGAAAAATACTGTTTTGAAAAGAGGGSTTTTTCAACCGGATTATTTCACTGGGAACAGTTCTCTTCCTTTCTACTTCATTTTTTTTCTAACCAGTGAAGAAATTGGGCTGTAAACAAAAAAGTCTTTCAGTGTGTTACATTTTTATTGATGACTTCAGACTATGAGATGGCAGAAGATTGTTTCCTTTGTGCTATCTTGATTCTGAGATAAAGGGAGTCCARAATTAGTGATCTCTTCAAGGTCATATAGACCTGTTTCCCAGTGTCTTCTGCACTCTTGAGGTTGTGYAGGTTTCTCAGATTTGGGTTCCTCAAAGGGTAAACCATTAGATATTCTGTGAGAGAACCAAAAGGAATTTTATCTGTCAGAGAACGCCCTTTTTTGAGCATTTGTGGTTTCTTTGTTTACCTCTTACTTTCTGGACTGACCTTAAACTACAGGTTTGTTGCGGGAGGGAGGCAGRATGTGTGTAAACTTAGATGTTCAGGACAGTGTAGGCGGTGGTTTGATATAAGATAGTTARAGAGTTACTGCCTTTAGGCACACTTCGTAAAGTATTTCTGAGAAGTAGCTGGAGAAAATCTTGCTGTCTGCCCAGGGTAAGAAAGAGTGGTTTTGATTTTGATTTTATGAAGCGTTCTGAGGGCAGTGAGGAATGAGAAAATGAAGTGCTATGAAGACACTGAATGATGTTTGCCAGAATCTGCTTTTTGATKAACAAAATCATGTGTACGTGAAAGTACTGGGTGTTTTTTTTTTAAACCTTTGTCGTTGTAGTTCGTCCAGACATRCCAAAAAATATTTCCTGCATTTTTTTCTTTGATGATAACCTTACTTGTACCTGGAACGGAGGAAGAGAAACAAGTTTTACAAGATACTATACTCTTTACCGGAAACTGTAAGTTCAAGAGGTGTACTGGGAACTGCGTTGCTGGGGTGTGACAACCAGATCTTTTCCTCACTCATCCTGACTTCTGTTCAAAGAAAACTTGGAAACATTATGCAGATTGGAATCTTGGCATTTCTCAGTAAATTKAATTGATTAATTCAGCCTGATACCTTTTTAGTATGTTGTACAAAGGACATGAACATTCTCAACCCAATATTCAGTAGAGAAATATTTGCATTAGAGCTGAAATTCACTTGTTCCCTTGAAGTAACATTACTAATTAGATTGAAAGCTTAGTGACCATAGGCACAAATGAGGAAGGGAGGCATTCTGTGGAAGAGTTTCCCAGAAACATTCTATGCAATGAAGTATCCTCATTTTGGATGGTAAAAATGATTGCTTCCTCATTTGCTTAAAAAATTCCCCATATAAATTTCATGAAGCCACTGCTTTGCTGCAGTATTCTGCTTGACTCCAGTAGTGTTTAACCTGGTCATAAGGAGTCATGAGGTTTCAGTGAAAGAATTCAGAGTTGTCCTTTTCCATTGCTTGGGGATTTCTGTTTACAAATACAAATTATGTGGTCTCATGCTTTTCAGTATAGAAGCACAGATACCTGGTTCTTTCAATTTCTGTTAGATTTTAAACATTGGTTACGAGTTTRCTTTTTCATAAATTACTGGGAAAATGATGATATTGGTGTTGTTCCAGGGCAGATCTCAGATAGGATTTTGAAAGTCATAGCACAATTTCCTCCAGACACTTGTCAATCTGTGCTTCATAGTGCTGCTTCTAATAGTGCTCTTTTTCTGTTTGACCAAGACTCCAGGTAATATTGTTTCATGAAGAGATTTCTAAAATGCCTAAAGTTATTCTTGAGACCGGGAAGGAATTCAAACTCTGAATTCATATTGTATTAGTGTATGCTATCTTTTTAATTTAAATAATAGGGTATGAAAACCTCTTTAGCTTTATCTCCATTTTAGCTTTGACTTTTTAGGCTTCCACCTTTTTAATGTGGCATTTCCTTACTCTTTCTGGTGTTTCTGTATTTTATAACTTAGCTGAGTTTGTGAAGCCACAAGCTAGATGAGCTATTGAAAGTAGTTTTAACATTATTCCTGTTTGTATAAACACAAGCTTTTTTATCAACCACAGAGTGAATTGGATTGCAACACTGTTTTTAGCCAGTTTTAATCCAGCTATCTCCCTWACTGAGTTTAGCATGTGACTACAAAAGTGCTGGGAAGGGAAATTAGAAGAGTGTTCGTTTGCACAAACATGTAATCTAAAGATGTTGTCTGGTAAAAGTCTTGCAACCTCAAAGATACATAAGTAATAACCTAACAATCTGTTTGAATTATTCTAAGAAAATCCTTTAGTTTCTAACTACTTTTATTTTTCTCTTTTTTAGGATAAATTCTTCAGATACAGGCAGCTCATGCAACAGTACAACGGAGTCCTGTTCATTTTTTCATCCAGATAATAATCCCTATAGTAGTAAATTTTGTTTTCAGGTGCAAGCTAAGAATGTTTTGGGTGAATCCTTAACAGACTGTACTCCTATATCTTTGAGTAAAATAGGTAATTAAAAAATAGTTAATGTAGTTAATAGTAAGTAGTTAATTTTTTAACGTAAAATTCTTCACACTGGTTGGTGTTACAGCAGTAATTTTCAGCAGTTTCTTGGTCTTACTGCGAGGTGGTAAAAAATGTCAGGGGATTGTTTGCATGCTGTGAAACATCTAATTGCAACTATTTATTTTTAAGGTAATATCTAATGTATCGGTTATAAATTACTAAGGTTTTAACTATGGGCAAGTAAAGGCCATATATTAAAAGTTTTTGTCAACCTAATTGGTACTCAGACTGTACTTTAATATTTCTAGCAGTACTAAATATCAGTGCAACACTTGGCTGTAAATGAATTACGGTATTTTAATTTCTCAAGGGCCACCCATCATTTACTCTGCTATTCTACTTTCTGGTTTGGAATGTTAAAAAACCCACCTGTCCTATGTGCAATAATGATTGCACCAAGGAGCAGTAATAATGTTTTGTCTACCTCTTCTCCCTCTGGCCTGTGCTTTTTCTCTGTTCATTTTGGTGCTGTAGTTAATCAATAACCATTWTACCTGACTACTTTTTGCTGCAGCACTAGTCATCAGGGGTATCCTTTATTCCTGTGTTCAGTCCTGCTGTGACTCCTCCTTACTCTCCACATGCTCTATGCCAGTTGTGTCTTTTTGCATTGCTAGCCCATCCTTTTTCCATCATGTCCTTTACATTTCTCTCCCTCTCAGATCCCTTTCAGCTGAATTCTTTCTTCATCTGCAGTTCAGTCTTGCCTTTGGCATCACAGCTCTCCTTCATTTGTTTTCCCTGCTGTTGTCTCTGGGTAGTATTTTTCAKTGCTGATACAAATGAAAGACATCTGCACATCTGTTGAGAGCAGGTTTGTGAGCAGAATCATGGACAGGCTTGGGTGGGCAAGGGCACCTTCCCCTAGACCATGTTGTCCAAAGTCCCTGCTAATTAAATTAGTTATGTATGCAATTTCTCTTACAGATAATGTYCCATATGTAGAATTAAGTCTACAAAATAAGCCATCACATGAATACTCTGATAGGATGTGTGTTACTGGGATAAGGATTTAACCTCATGGCATGCATGGACAGGCAAATTCTGTACTTTTATAGAAACATTTCCCTCTCTTAATGCTTTTGTTTCTTCATTCTAGAGAAATTTGCCCCTCCTGAAATAATTTCAGTTAAAAAGATCCCTGGAATAAAGCAGTTACTTACAGTAACCTGGCAGATGCCTAAGAAGATTATCCCTTCACAGCCTTTAATTTGCCAGGTTCGATACAGAAACTTGTATTCAAACTTTACAGTAAGTTACATCATTTTTCTTCTGAATGCCAGTTTCTTTATGACTAACTTCTTAATGTTGTAATAGTTGAAGTAGAAAAAGAGCAACAAGTTGTTTGAAATAATGATTATAACCTTGTTATTTTGGAATGTTATTGAGGTACATGTTCTTAAGAACATTGTGTTTTCTAGGGTTAATTGTCCTCTTTCTTTTGGCCAATATCTGTTGTGGTATATACTATACTTCTCAGTATTATTTTGTGGAAGCTTGAAGGATGACCTTAGGCAAAAGGATTACACAGGCAGTCAGTAAAAATATTTTATTTTTCCCTTGCATTCTGGTGTTGAAAACAGCACTTACTCATAACCACAATACCTGAATCTGATTAAGATGGAATAATGTTACATTTGTTTTAAAGTGAATGAAAATGCGAATTTTGCAAAGTGGAAAATAAGGGAAGTTATTTTTCTGAGTTTGTCTTTCTGATGGAATTGTTGGAAAAAAAAACCAACAGTATTTGCATATTTCAGATGATCTATTCCTATGCTGCTCAGTATGGAAGGGATTTGTAGTTTTACTGTTTCTTCTTCCAAATTAAAGAATTGGCCAAGTTTCTTGGATTGCTTTTTAAAGTTCATTGAACTGAGATGTCTGCCTTGATCTTACTATTTTATGCACCTCCTATATAATTTTGGGAGAGAAAAATTCATCAAGGTAGTCTTCAGAGCTTTGAAGAAGTCTCTAATACCAGGCATGTTTCTAACTAGCATCCCTCTCCATTCTCAGGCATCATTACTGTAGATATGACATATCAGTCTTTGGATTCAGGATATAATATTCAGGATATAGTATTCAGGGTGACTGGATGGGCAGGATGGCTGAGGTACAACTAGGATATTAAAAATGGAACTAATAATTGTTTAAGAGATCTGTTTGAGATGTTTATCCTTTTGGAGTCAAGGCWCTGGTGTCCTTGTGACCCTTACCTGCTGTGAGATCCTTTTGAAATGTTGAAAGTCTTCATATCCTTGGAAGGCTACATATTTATTGTGTATTGTATCAATTTTTCAGCACCTGCATTAGAAATCACCTGCCCTCTTTTTTGCTATCAAATACAGTCTATATACATTTGCTTCCTCCAATCACACCTGCATTTTCCTTCAGATATTCCAGAAAAAACAGTGGATAGCCATGATTAGTATAGACATAGGAACTGTTTTTCTGTCAGCACATACATGCAAAAAGAATACCCCAAACCAACCCCCAGAAAACCTAATTAAGAAATATTTGAGGAAATGACAAGWATCTTCTTGGCCTTTAAAGTCATGCAACCAAAGCAGTCTAAATAGTTTGATGTGAGTTGTTTTTACCAAGTGAAAAACAGGTGATTTGTTTTCATTCTTACATATACTAAGTTTTTAATTATGATACAATATTGGTAACAGCTTTTTGGCAAAGTAACTAAAATTTGTGTAACTAAACTAGTAGGAGGTGTCTCCAATTCTGTGTCAAATTCTGCTGGAGATTGATAATGGTTTTGGAGACCTTTTAGTTGTAGGTTTGTTGCAGTCTGTCACCTACAGTGGTTTGGAAAGCCCTGAATTCATTCTCAGAGAAGCAGGTATTTTTTGATAATGAGTTTCTTAAGATCAGAACWGACTAAAATCTTCACTTTATTAGGCACTGCACTTTCTATTATGGTGCTTATATAAGTGGGTGTTTGCATTTTGTATTGCTTTAGACTGATTCACTTTTCATTGGAAGGTGGAAGCCAAGAATTTCTTCACTGTGTTTTAGCCCTGTGACTGTTGGAGTGAGGTTCCTTTTAAGACAAAGAAATGACTCACATTGTCATTACTTTCCTGAAAAGTTACCACATCATTTGTTTCTCATACTCCTGTCTTCCTCCACTGCTTACAGGCTTCATCTTCCTTTTTTTCCCTCTTGCTACCAGAATTTTTAGTCTCTTCATTTGCCTTTCCATTTTAAAATGCTCTGCTGATAAACTTTGGGACAGCCCACAGCCATGCTGCTGTATGGCTAAGAGCTAGAAGGTCTTGTAACTCAGAAAAGAAAGGAAACAAGAAGCTGGCTGACTCACAAACTGTGGGGTTTCACTGCTTCCCCTAGGATGCTGTTGTGGGACATTATTGCAGAAATGGCTTTAGCAATGATCAGTTGCTTCCCACCAGTGGGAACTACAWTGCTCCAGCACCTCCTGTGCCAGCGCAGCTGCTCTAGGTTCACGTGTGAGCTGCAYGCTGCTCAAGCTCATGTCAGTCATCACAGACCTGGGTTGGCATCAAGTTTTTAAAACACTGGAGTTTTACAGGAAGAACAAAAGTGGTACATGGGAAAATCAAGTACAAAACAACCTGAGTTTCAGAGGAGTGAGGTGGAATACACAAAACCTTCATMTTTTGGGGTATTTTTAAGAAAACAAGCCACATATCTACATGCAGTTTTACAACAAATCATTTTTGTTCATGTGTCTATTTTCAGGAATTTGTCAATGTCTCACTGAATTCTAAACAGAATACATCATCTTGTAATCTCACGGGTCTGTGGGATTCCACAGACTATTCTGTTGCCGTTCGGTGTATCAATATTGAGTCAATATTTTGGAGTGCATGGAGTGGAGAGAAAAAAGGAAGCACAGAAGAAAAAGGTAAACTACCTACCTGTAAAAGTTTCCTTCTGTTATAATTTGAGGAATTAGGATTTAATATGGAAAAACTGTGTTTCAGCATATTATCAGTCTATTGAATTTGGAATTCTGTTGCTTATATTTCTGTTGTTTGTATTTTGTTTAAAGATAGAAGAGGAAAATTGAAAGACAAGAGCAAGCAGTGGAGATTTGAAAAGTGATTTGAAAAGGGCCAAGGAAGAAAATAGATGAGTAAATAGACAGTGAAGAGAGGGAAAATTAAGAATATAGATGGAGATTTAACAATTTCAAGTGAGACAAGCAATGCAGCATGTATGTTCAATGAAATTAATTATAAGTAGAGAAAYCAAAATGCCAGTTATAAAACAAGACTAGAAAACTTCTTTTAGGAAATGCTAGCACTTAACAAATAAAAGTGAGCAGCAGGAAAATTATGGAAAGAGAGAAGTACCTAACTGGGGRAAAAAAGAGCAATACAGAAGAGAAAACAGAAACTTTCTCTTAGACTTTGTGTTTGAAACCTTTTGATTGTTTTCTCCGTAATAGAATATCTTTTTCATATAGCAACAAATTGCAAGTTATTTTTTTTTTGTGTCTTTAAATAGCTCCTTCAGGGAAAGTGGATTTGTGGAGAGTAATTGAACCTTCACACTCATCTAGAAATAGATCTGTACATCTTATGTGGAAGGTACATRCTTTCTGTGAATTGATAATCATGTTGGTATCTTGTAGCTGATGTGTTYAAGTATTTTAAAGTTGTAGGACATAAAACTGCCAGAGGCATTTGCTATTTTCAGAAAAAACTACTGACTGAACTAAATTAGAATTCAAAAGGCTTTTGTTTACTGAGTGGTAGCTGAATGAAATTTTGTAATTTGTGTGGAAAGGGAGCATTTAATTCTGTTCAGATCAYTGGAAAATCTCATTGCAAGTCCTTGCAACTGCATTTAAATAACCCATTTTACCAAAGCTATATTTAAATTAATTTGAATCTTCTTGTAAAGTGTCCAAAGGCTCCTCAGTATTTGACTTCTGARCTCTGTCAAGGAAATTGTTGTGACTGGCTATCCTGAGGATGGGCCTGAAGAAAATACCTTGCTTTTCTAAATATAGTAGAAAAGAAAATACCTTGCTTTTGCAAATAATGCTGTGAAACACTTACTACTGCATATTTTTTAATAGCCACTAAGAAGCTTTCCACCTCCTGGGAGAGTTCAAGGCTACAAAATACAATATTTTCCTGAAAACAATGCTACACTTAAAAGGACAAGCAACTCTACTGAAAAGAAAATCACTTTACTTTTAAATGAAGAGGCACATATAATATCTGTCACTGCCTATAACTCTGCTGGAGAGTCTCCTGAAGCTATTTTGAGGATTCCATCCACTGATGAAAAAAGTGAGATTTTTCAATGTRATGTTTTATTTTTCTCATTAATGAAAAAGTAGTTTGAGTGACATCTGTGTAAGTTCTTACATGATGGAAGCAAAATTGTGCTAAGGTCTTCTGTCATATATATCTATGTATATCTGGTCATATTTTGCTGTCATGTATCCTGTTTCTATTGTAGACAATTATTGTTGGGGYTTTGTTTTGAGATACAGTTGTTAACATATGAATACTTTGTGATGTTTTACCAAATTTCTATTGTATTACTTTCTGAGGAGTTTTTTTTTTAGTTGGTTTAGTTTTTTTTTCTAACTTTACAACTTCCAAACAACTCTATGGAGTGCTGCCCAATTCTTTTGCATCACTTTGTTAGCTCATAAAATTGGTTACCACATGACATTATTGCAGAGTATTTAATGATGTAATTCAGAGCAGAGATAGGATAAATAGAARTCTGTAAGTTGTGTTAGTGGAAGCAGAGAGAGAAGCCTTTTTTCTCATTTCCCATACATTCCCAGAGTACCCATCCCACCCACTGCCAGGGTTAGGAAGCTGCTCTGCTCCAGCACAAGAGCTGCTCTTTGTCTCTTATGTTTAATTCTCATATTGTGCGGAGCGTTCTATTGCAGCATCCTGTTGTCTGCCATGATCTGTCAGAGGGGTTGTGTTTGACACGCTTGAATCACTCCTGTATCAGTTGTTCATGATACAAGTACAATTTTCCCCCTGGAACTGCTCAATTAAATTCCATTTCTAATCAGAAGACAGGACCTGTAAATGTGATGTAATTTTGTCCTAGAGGTTGCTGACTACCTCCTATCCACTTTTGTACCCCACCATATAGGTGTTTCTGATTTTTCCATGCTGTGACATGCTTTCCCCCCACCAGATATCTCTCTTCTTTTTTCTCTGCTTCATTCAGGTTCTTTTTGCCTCTGCTTTGCCAGACTGGGTTTTCACTCAGACTTTCATTACCCTTATCCTGGAGGCTGATAATTGCTTCTCTGTCATTCATGATCTTGCTGGCTTGCTTTACTGTTCTCCTATTGCCTTTGTTACCTCAATCAAAATTTGCTTATGAGGTACCTGCAAAATTTGTAGTAACTTGGTTTATAAAATTTTACATACTGCAAATTTTGGAGTCTAAAAGAGAGACTGATTGTTGAATTCTATGTGTGTTTTTCAAGTTTTTATGAAGATAGAATTGCTCTTATTTCTTGTTAAATTTTTAGCCTCTCAGATAATTGRAAGACTGATGGCCACTACAACAAATGAAGAAGTGGTTGTGGAATGGATGACTTCTGAACGAGAAGCAATCAAATATGTGGTTGAGTGGTATGAGGAATCGGAGATGGACCCTTTTGGTAGATCATGGCAATATGTATGGAATTCTACAAAATGGCAAAATAACAAAAGTATGTTTATATATCAGTTACAGCTGCAACAATGTACAGATGTACATGCATTCATAGGTAGATTGGAAAGAACAAACAGGGATGAACTCATGCCGGTTTCCTCACACCATTATGAACATAAGACTATTATTACATGTTTAATGATATCTCTGKGTGCAGTGTAATAGCATTTTTTAGTCTTTCATATTTTCATGCACTATGTGAGGTAATTTTTGCTTCCCGCATAAGAGTCAGCTACAGCTTTTGTGTTAAAACAGTTCTGTTGCTTGACCTTATGCCAATAGGGAGGCCTGTGACTGATGCATGCTCTTCTAGTAGAGAAATCTAGAACTAAAAAATACAGTTTAAATAAGGGAAAAGGTCATGCTGCTTCATGTGTTTTAGAGAGAGTGAGAGCATCACAGTTCTCCATGGGTTGCAAGGGGACAGCTTGCTTCACCATGATCTTCCSCAGAGGCTGCAAAGGAATCTTTACTGTTCTGGTGTGGGTTCCCACCCACAGGAGACCTCAGGGAGCTCCTCCAGCATGGGTCCTCTTCCCAAGGCTGCAGCTGTTCACRAACTGCTCCASYGTGGTTCYCCTGGGAGGTCACATTGTCATTGAGACATCCACCTGCTCCAGTGTGGGGTCCTCCACAGGCTGCACGTGGATTCTCCATTGTGGACTCATTCACACATCATGGTCCCTTTTACTCAAGCTCACACTAGGGTTCCAGCCTGTCCAGTACAGCAGCACTGCCCTGGCCACCTGCCAGCCCCATGGCTGTTATCAGAATGTTCTCAGGCACAAATCAGTAAGATGTTAAGCAGTGCAGCAGGACAGCAAGCAGCAAAAACAAAAATTGGCCACTAACTAGCACTAGGCTCTAATATCCAGTCAAGCAAGTGAGCCCCACAGCAAGCACAGGAGCCTGCTCATCACTGGCTGAACAGCAATTGACAGCTGTGAGTTCAGTCTGGTAAATACCAAACAAATCTGTTATGGTCTCAGTGRTTTGACTCCTGCCTGGCTCCCCAAGAAGGACTGGTGTGGTTAAACCCCAGCCAGCAGCCAAGCCCAGGCAGCCACTTGATCACTGCCCTGCCAGTGAGAGCAGAGAGAAAATCAGCAGGGTAAGAGATACAGAATTCATGGACTGGGGTACAGTTTAATAGGGAAAGCAAAAGCTGTGCATKCAAGCAAAAGAAAACAAGGGATGAATTCACTGCTCCCCATGGGCAGGCAGGTGTTCAGCTGTCTCCAAGACAGCCTGGCCTCATCACATGTGATAGTGACTTAAACACTCCAAACATGCCCCCTTCCTTTCCCCCCACTTTAAACATTGAGCATGATGTCACATGGTCTGGAATATCCYTGTGGTCAGTTGGGGTCACCTGTCCTGGCTGTGYCTCCTCCTACCCTCCCAGGCACTCCCAKCCCCCAGCCCAGCCTGGCAGTACGAGATGCAGCAAAGGCCTTGGCTCTGTGTGAGCTCTGCTCAGCAATAACWAAAATTGTCAACACTGTGTTGTCAACACTGTGCTCAGCACAAATCCAAAYCACATCCCYGTACCAGCCACTGGGTAGAAGATTAGCTCTATCCTAGGTAAAACCAGGTGGGGTAATGTATATGTAATGGCCATCATAACTCCTGCTGCTTTGCAATAGGTGTGAGGGACTGAAAGAGCAGCAGAAAGCTGAAATAATCCAGGGACCTGTTGATAGCCATTGTTCTTGCTGAGTAAACTGCAGAGCTTGAGAGGAATGATCTAGGAAAGCTTTTTCATTCCAAAGGATGTAAAGCTGTATATCCTCTCAGAGTTAATGGGAGTTGTTGGAAGTAGTGAGTGCACCCTGTTGATTACTTGGTTGCTGGATTGTTCAGAGTTCACAGCTTCATTACCAGAAGCTTGAGCTGTGTCTTGAAACCTGAAATTCTACTGCAGAGATCTCACTTGGGACCACTGTACCCTTGAGCCAGGCTGGTTAGAATCAGAGCTGCAGTTGGCATAACTGGACATCCATGTAGAAATAATAGAATAATAGAATAATAGAATATTCTGAGTTGTAAGTGGTCCAGAAGGATGAGTGAGGTCCAACTCCTGGCACTACACAGGATACTGCAAAAAGCATACCATGTCCTGCCAACATTGTCCAAACCCTTCTTGAGCTCTGTCAGGTTGGTGCTGTGACCRCTCTCTTGGGGAATTGTTCCAGTGCCCAACCRYSCTCTGGGTGAAGAACCTTTTCCTGATATCCAACATAAACCTCCCCTGCTTGCCATTCCCTCAGGTTATAAGTGTAAAGAGCTACACTGCTTTTTAATCCATTTGATGCATGAGACAAAACAGTGTCCTGCAGAGTGTAAGCATGAAGATATGGGAAATTAAAAATACTACCATTAGGTGTAATTTAATACTGGTTGTTTGAAAATAGAGGCTCCCTCCAAAACAGTGACTTGTTTCGTGATGAGTAAGTGAATTCAAATTGAGAAGTTGTATGAAGTTGAATTGTAATTACCCATTCCAAGTATTTCTAGTGAAAAATGAGTCAGAAACCATGTGCTCTTATGAATACTGCTATGAAAAAAATATGCTATAGGCAGAAATGAGCATTCAAATATAAAGTTACATATTGTGCTTGCTAGAGTTGAAGAAAATAATTAGTAACAGTATATTTAGAATTCCCTTGTGATTTAGTCTACTTTTATTGTATTAATGCCACATAGAGATTGTATGTAAATATTCTTTCCTTTGCAGAAAACTTTAAACCATTTATATGCTATAACATCTCAGTRTATCCTCTTTATGGAAATAAAGTAGCAGCTCCATCTTATGCACAAATATATGCTCAAGAAAAAGGTATGTATTTTAAAGTAATTCTGTTGTGAAAGATGTGKTGTAGTCTGTTTCTCAGGATGTATTATCTTTAAGTGGTTTCATACTACCATTATTTGAAAGAGAGATGAAGGTGATGGAAAAAATGTCAGGTTTCAGGGCTCCTGATTTCTGTTCTGTTCAGCAACAAAATTGGTCTATAAGAAAATATTAATCTTGTGATATAGGTTCATTGCAGCTTAAATCAGTGAGATTTAAGCTGATTTTTTGTGAAGTTTACATATTGTATACAAAGCATTTGGAAAGAGTATAGTTCCAATCATGAACATTTTTTAAACTAGYTGTGTCTTCAATGTTACACTTAGATGTATAAGTATGATCATTTAGCTATATAATTATGCTTGATTTTAATGCTTGAATACATTTTTCAGTCTTAATACATGAGGAAATTCTACTCAAAAATAAAACTAGTGGTTTAAAAAGCTTATTTTTTTGTTAAATTTCATAATTAATATAATTTTTGCAGTCTTGCATGTAAAAATGGTAAGAAGACATGATGTTTATAATTGGATAGAAACTGTGGATGAAGTAGTGTTTTGTGAGGAAAGGGGTAAAGCTTCTTCATTTATAGAAGTTTAATGTGAATTCAATGATGTATACAGCCAGCTGTAAGAATGTAATTTTAAGTGTCCATGTGGGAATGTTGATTTGTGTGTGTGCATAAATAGGTCTACGCAAATGTGCACGCACACATAGTAAAATGCACCACTGAAAAGCATTAATTACAGGGAGGAAGCAATGGAGTGTTTTATGTTTGAGTTATAATTACTAGCACAGTTAGAACTGTGCTTTGAGTGCTTTCCTGGTGGTAGGTAGCTRTGACAGCACTCAAGGTTGTTAGAGMATGGGAAGGAAGCTATTTGTTTTAAAACTGAAACACAGACAACCTTTTTTTCATAGTTATGAGCAATGCATGTGAGGTGGTATTGTGTAAGTAGAAAGGCTTTTTTAGTGTGATGGACACTAAACTTTGTTTATTGTGATGGACACTGGGGGTGCTGGAGATGCCACTTGAATCCCACAGACCTCCTGCACAGGCAGTGGCCCTGCACCTGAGTCCTCCCGTGAATGCATAATGATATTTTTCTTCTTGATCTCTGATGTTATGACAGTACAGCCTTTTCATGATCTCAAGGTATTTGGCTACAGTAACACCTAGAATAATGCAAATGCCAGAATAGATGAGGTGAAATTTCATTGAAAGAATTCCCACAAGGAATTAACAAGGGTGAGGAAAGTTAAGGATTATGTCAGATTTTCTCATGCATGTGTTTGCCCTAATATTAGTGATACGTGTGAAGTAACAGAGGTGGATCACATTGTGGTACATGGACTGTTTTACTATTTTTGCTATTTCATAATTCTTCTCTGTAGAGCCAGCAGAAGGACCTGTGGCTGATACAAGCATTCTGGGGAAAAATGAAGTTACAATAAAGTGGAATGAGATTCCAAAGGATAAAAGAAATGGATTTATCACTAACTATACAATATTTTATAAACCTGAAGATGAAGGAGAATTGAGTAAGTATACATTAAACAGTAATGCTCTCAACGGGGTTATGAAATTCTCAATCTCTCTTCTATCATGACACAACTTYGAAATTAATGGAAAAAGTCATGACAGGAGTAGAGGAGCTGAAATATATTGGAGAATCACAGATTCAGTATAAATTCAGAGATCATGAGGGTTCAGTGAATTTATAAATTTTCATACTTGTCCTTGGAAGCAACTTCTAGAAAAGTATAGTGGAAATTTTCTGTTAAAATGTTTTTACACAATTTTATATTAAGAGCAAATCAGGGAATAACAATAAAATAAGCTGCCAAGAATAGTTTCTTTGGATGTAGTTTTTAGGTCAGTGTCTTCAGATGTGTTTGGTTTTCTGCGCTTTATTGCTTTTCTGGTCTGGAGTCTGATAGCATCAATTTGAGCATATTCCTAATCTCTACCTCAGGAATGGTGTCCATACAATCTGTAATGCTATCTGTTAAAAACTTTTTAGTTTAAATCTCAGCAGAAGCTTGTATGGCAAGTGTTTGGGTGACCTAAACTTTTCTTCCTGTGTATTTTACGAAGAATGCTGTTGGATCATTCGGTATTTCAGAATTTGTTTTGTTCCTCCCTTTTTTGTACATCATTGTTAGCAAGCATGGAGCACAATCTCTTTTGCAAAGTTTGCAAACATAAAAATCTTGTGATGCCTGTTTCTTATGGATATTCAGTTCAGAGCCAGGCAAGAGTATTCCTGATGATTTTCAAATGTGAAAGAGAAAGCTAATTATTTCTGTCAGATTCAGTCCTACCATAATGGTTTCTGAGTAATTTAATACTGACTGCTTTGTGCAGTCAGGGGTCATCTGTGAGACCTGGAGCCTCATATCCCAGAGCAGTATTTCKCCATAGTACTTGTAAAGCAGGCTGTGTCCTTTTCAGGGCTTCAGATTATTTGCTTTAGAAAATTAGTTGTAAAATACTAGCTCAAGGGAGCTAAATGTCAAAACATGCTGTACTGATGTTTTTTGAGGCTTCTCTAATATCATGTCTTCTTGACAAGAATAGAATGTGGGGTTTGTGCCAAGGTGACCTCACTGATGGCCTTTTTACGATAGAACTTCAGTTTCCCACCCCTGACTTACAAGAAACTCAGTTTATTTTAACTTGGGSCGTATTGCAGCATAACTATTTCCTGGGTATTTCTTGACAGAACTGACTGATGACATGTGCTGACTTTGATTTATGCACCAGAAAATGTTTTAGTGGTTTTCATTTCTAACATGAAAATGTGTTTGGTAGTGTTAGTAGACACAGGGTAATAGGATACRTGCCCTGCTTAAAAAAATTTAAAGATTAAGCACATTATACTAATTTCAGTATTGGATAATGTATTGGAAACACTGGGTTCTATTCATAAAATAATTTTGAAAGTTGGAAAGAAATTCCTGTTGATTTTGTCTTTCCTTTGACTTTATTGGAGTGGTATCCAATAAAATGCTGATAGATGGCATTCTTTTGGATGATCAATGTCTAACTGCATATACTAGAAATAWGGCTGAATTTCACAAGCTACAGAAACTATCTGAAGCTCTTAATTTCTGAGCCAACTATTTTGAAGAAAAGAAGTTCTCAAAGAACAGTTTTCAGTGATAAACTGCAGGAGATAATAATTCACATATATTTAATATTAGCAAAAATATTTGTATTTATTTTTAAAAGCAAATTCATAATGATACTGGGATTTGCCTCAAACTTTTAATTACCATTGGTAAACATTGCCTAGTAATTTAGGTTTTCTTTGTAAAACTACTGGTAAGATTTCTTTGTATTTGAAGTTATCTTTAAAATAGTTCGTGATYTATTATTGTAAAAGTTGCTAAATAAATGCACAGTTCCCTCATATAATGTTACTTTTGTATGTTTACTGACATAAATCTTCTAAAAAGATGAAACAGTGAACTCTGACATTCTGCAATACAGACTGAAGTCCTTACAGGCTAATACACAATATACTGTCTATATAATGGCAAGCAATAAAGCTGGTGGAACCATTGGAGAGCGAAAAACCTTCAAGACTTTGAAATTGGGTGAGTAATAATCCAGGTTAGTTATTACTATTTTAAAAAATGGCTTTGGGAGTAAGAAATACTGKATGTTGTTGTTTAGACATTTGTGAGCTGCTTTTTAAGTAGCATTGAACAAAACACGGAACAATTGGCAACACTAGTTGAATTTAACTTAATTTCATGGACTATCTCCCAGACTAATAAAAAGCTCAGAATTAGGAGTCAACCCCAAAAATCTTTATTGTCTTGTAAGTAAAGCTGTGGAGTACTATGGTTGTTTGTGGAAGCAGCAGTGTGTATGCTACCAGTTATGGGATGGGATGCCTGACAGCTCATTAGAAAGTAGACTTCTATCTGAGAGATTTACAATAGATTTAGAATAACCACACATTGTGTTGCACTTATTCTGCTATATGAGCTTAAGTGCTAAGTGAGTGCAGAGGTTGTGGCCAGTGTGTGTGTAAGGAAATACCTTTTCCCATTTCTCACTATTTGTTATGGCCAGATTTGACAAGGAGCTTGGTATAATGGCAGCAGATGAGAAATTCAGACATTTTCTCATTTTAGCTTCTGAAAGAATGTTCTCTGTACATTCCTAAATGCCTCTGGTACTCTGGTACTTGGAAGCTAGCTCAGAAATGCATGCAGTGTTTCAGTCACTGTGTTTTTTTTAAAATTTTAAATCTGTCTCCTGCACTTAATTTGCTATTTATCTTGTTGTGACTGGTAGAAGTGGCACTGATGGGCAGATTTAGGTGAGTGTAAAATAACAGGTGACCAAAGAGGTGGTAGAGTCTTTATCCTAGGTTGCTCTCAAAGGGTGTCATGGTATGATCTAAAACAGCCTGATCTAATTTTAAAATTGCACAAAGTGATCTACAGATATCCCCTCCAATCTAAATTACTGTGTGTTTCTGTTAAATAAAGGAATTTTTAAAATGCAAAAAAAATCTGTTTTTAAGACATCCTGGAAAATCTCAGACTTGGTTTTCTGGSTCAGTAACTGTGGCTTGTTGGATTCAAAATACTCATCTTCTGACTCATCATACAATGCATATCATACACYCTTCTGAGAAATTCTGGGTAGTTTTGCCAGAGCTTTTTAGAATTGTGCTTATTAAGTGATTTGGATGTTAAAAATTAGCTGTCTTAAGGGAATCCCTGAAGAAATGACAAACACCTGTGGACTGATTGGTGTTTTGTTTTTTGTTTGTTTGTTTGTTTGTTTTTGTCTAAAGATAAAGAAGATGTCTTTTTTATTGCTATACCTGTTGGGATAAGCGTGTTGTGTCTGATAGGCCTTTGGATAACGTGCGTTTTGAAAAAACATGCGTGAGTACATTTTCTGCTGTCTGAAAGYGAATGCAACCAGTTAAAATTAACTTGTAAAACAGGACTTTTAAAATATTTTATAAATGCTTTTGTTGTGTTCAAAGCCAATGTCAAAATAGAAAACCACTGAAGTAACAAATAAATAAGTGTACAGGTTTTAACTGCAGTTTATGTGCTATAGTCCAAAAATATATATTAATTTTAGAAAGTTTAATAAATTAAAACAAAATAGAGAAGCAGATTTACATATCAACTACATAATTTTATTTAAAATGCTACATGCCATTTGCAGTTCCAAGGGAGGGGGACAAACTTCAAGTCAGTTTCTAAAAGATTAATAATGACAAGAAATARAAGTTTTCTAGACACTTTTAATATGCTAGGACACCATAAGGACATATTTCACAGAGCCCCTGCTGCTTATCTTACCAATAATAATATGTTAGTTTGTGCTGCCTCCCTTGAGCTGCAAAGGAGTARTGAAAAAACCTAGAAATTTCATTGTGTGAAAACATTTGGATGCTTGATCCTTGAGTGTGGATCCATAGCATGGTTCATAATCTTTTCCTCTGCTGTACCCTGTACAGACGTACCCTGACAGATTTTAAGTTGCTTTCTCTGAGCATAGGGATCCAGTAACATCCTAAAGATGACTGTGAGGGGTTTTTTTAAGGTTATAAAATATGCTTTTCTTTCACACAAAAAGTGACTGGGTTGTTTGGCTGATGAGAGGGTTAAAAACCTAAATTTTGGGCATTCTAAGCTATTAAAAACAATATTGTTGTCAAGTGAAGCATCAGGTAATAATGACAGCTGAAGCAATGAGTTTAATTTCCATCCCTTTTACATCTTCATGTGTGTCGTGTAGTCTGAATTTTTACAACAGCAAGAAACCATGTTTTTATTCTGGAGAATACTTTGAGATAGAGTTGAATGTTTGTGTTCCTGTGTAGATCAAATTGCCATGTGGGAAGTGAAGCTAAGCCTGGATTTTATTCCTTTATCTCTGTACCCAGTGTCAGTGTGTGATTCAGTGAGTGAGCACAGTTTATCTGCTGTTAACTTAGAAATTCAGTGTAGCTCTAATGTGGTGCAGTGCCAGGGACATTTTCCTTGAACAAACTTCACCTGAGGTGGCTTTTCACTGAAGAAACACCCTCAAACATGATCATAATAGAATTTGTATAGAGTCTTATTTTGGCATGCTTTTATTTCATATACTGTTTAATCAAGTAATACAATATAATGATGCATAATATAAAACATAGTAGAATAGAATAGAATTGAATACAATACAATATGGCTTTTGAGAATTAGTAGTTTTTCTGCAATGTCTCTGTAACCCAGGAGATCTTGTTGAGCTATTTTATGATAAAATCTATGTATGGGAAAATAATTTTACTGAAAAGCATTGTGTTAATATAGAAAATACTTCCTTTGTGGAAGTTTGATGCTTTAGTAGTAGCTGTACTTTCTGGTGATTTGTTAATTTTATTTTTAATAATCTATTTATTACATAATTTGACTAAAATTTCATTCTTGATGATAGGTTTAAAAAGGTTTGCTGGCCTGATATTCCAAATCCTGAAGAGAGTCTTGCAGTGGAATGGCCTTTTCCTTCATCTATGGTAATAGTTACAATTTTATGCATTAAAGAAGGGTTTCAAATGGAGAGAAAAGAAACCCTTTTATGGCAGTCATTTTATGAACTATAAAAAACCCCCATATTGTGTTCCATTCTTCTTTTTAAGTGCTATAAAATGCTCTTTCTGGTATTCCAAAGCAATAGAGAAGATGCATCTTCATAAAGTACGTTCATCTAATTCTTATAGGATATTGAGACATAATGATTTGAAGTGACAAAGTGGCTGGTGGATGTGTTTTATTTAATTAAGTAAATTAAATTTGCACAGGTTGAGTCTATTAAATCAGGTTTCCACATCTGCATACCTGCTCCCTTCTCCACAAAAATGTATTGCAACATGCAGTAAGATTTGGTATATGATTGTTTTAACATTTCGTTCTTTTTATTTGTTGAATATTTATTCCTTGTTCAAGTTTTGGTGTTTATTTGAATGGAGTGGAGTTGATCAGGTTTACATAGAAAGTGTAATCTGTGGGGAATGGGATTTAAACTTTTTTCCTYAAAAATGTCTGGTTAGACTAGAAAATATGGACACAATCCAAACCTGATTCTGAGCCTTCACTGAAACTTGTTATTTCACTAAGCACAGAAAACCTAATAGGAAAGTGTTTAGCAAATGGACAGAATAACATTGTCATTTTTAGTACTCATTCCCATGTAACTGCATCCCATCTGAAAAGCAAATGAACTCTTAATTAGTGCACTAATAAAATTACAAGTCTAGCAGGGATAGTCCAATGACAATCATTTATTTTGAAAAACCCTAATACATTATCTATCCCTTTATAACTCTCTAATTTATCTCTTTGTACTCACAGAATAATTCATTTCTGAAGAGACTGTCATCTGAGACTAAAACTAYGGACTTTGAAGACATAAATGTTTTGGAACATTGTTTTCCTGACGAAAGTCCAGAAGGATCACTACTAATAAACTATGAAAACCATGTTTCTGTATGTACTGATATTGACAAAAAAAGCATAACTAATGGAGATGAAAAGATACTGAATAATGAAGAAAATGAAGTTGCTGAAAGTTTTTCACCATCCATGTCTTATGTAATTACTGATCAATTTATCAGAAGTCAAATGCACAGAGCTTTGATACCAGTGAAGGAAGCCCAACCCATAGAAATGMTGCCAAATGTTTTGTGTGGATCCCAACAGAATCCAATTAAAAATGAAGAAAATGGTGATGAAGAAGTTTTAAAGCTGGAAGATGTCAGTGAAGAAGCACTGTKCAATCCATACCTGAAAAATTCTGTTAAAACAAGGGAATTTCTTGTTTCTGAGAGCTTGCCAGAGCACAGTATGGATGAACACAAAAGCCARTCAAATGTCTTACCTCCTTGTCAACCAAATGCGCCAGGACAATCCTATGTAACACTGGACATGTTCAGGCTGGCCAAAGCTCAATAGTATGAGAGACCTCTGTTATAAAATCCTCCTGTGAGATACCCTTGGCACTGCCACTTACAGGCATTCATATGTTCTAATCTGATTGATCYCAGTTACTTTGGATGGGAACACCCTCTTCTTTTGAATAGCTGTGAAGTATTTTTTTGCACTGTGTTAATACTTGTCAGAGTTCACTTTCAGTGTGGGTGTTTGTTTTTTGTTGATTTGGGTTTTCTTTTTTTATTTTTTTTTTTATCAGATATGACAGTAGTGAGGAAAAAAAAATAGCTTTTATTATTTTCCCTTAGTTCTCCTGTATCAGTCTGCAAAAACAACCTGGTATTTGCTGCAGGAGCATAGAGCAGTGCAAGCATCTCATTTATTTCGCCCTAGACAACTAGTTCCCAAAACTCAGCTCTGCTGGGGAAACATGGTCAGTCTTGAACATGGTTGGAACCTGCCAAATCCTTCCTTCAGTTACATGAAGCAGAACTGCTTTCCTGTGCTTATTTCCCTTCATTGTTTTTTATCTGGTGTTATAGATCATGTTCCTCCTGTTTTACAAATTTTGTAGATTTCAGTAGCTGTTTTTTTGTATCCCGACTCTTGAATTAGTGGTTTGCTTATAGTTTCTTCTGTYTTTAATGAGAGTATATTTGTTGTCTGCATTTTTGAAAATATGTGTTGTGCTGGCTGTGTTACTTCCTTTCCTTTCTCGCGTTTTTCATCATCCTCAACATTTTGTGCTGCTTTTGTCTCTCCTGTTTGTTTCCTGCTTTTTAAAACTACTTATTGAAGGATTATTTTACCTTCTTGTTCCTTTGCTTCGAATTTGTTTCAGTTTAGAACTGTGTTTCCCAGTTGTGTTTTTAATGTTTTGAACTGAAAAAAAAAAACTAAGTAGGTGGTCTTTTATTGGAAGAAGCACTGCATTAGAAAGTTATTTTTCAGGGAGCTAATGAAAAAACACTAAATCTATGAAATCTCCCCAGATATTCTCTGTTAACTGATGTAAGATTAGGTATTTCTACATGAAAGCTGTAACTTTTGTAATTTGTTTTATGATTTTGATAAATCATAAAATCCAGTTGTAGTTTCCATTTTAAAAATAAACAATAAGCAGTAAAGCACTCGATCACACTGGAGGCACTCACACACACAAGAAAGAGGCCATCTCTGTAAAATTCTTACTGAAATACTTACCCTGTTAAATAACAGGTTTAAAAATATGTAGAGTCTTGAGTAAATTGTGTTATAAGGGGATGTTCAGTATGACACACGTGGGGATACGGTAATTTTAAGACTTYATTCTCACAGTATTTAGAGGCTTGATGTCATCAGTCTTGTTTGCACATAACTACAGATTTCTTTCTGGTTAAAAAAGATGCAGGAGTTATGGGGATAGGAAAATGAGAGACAAATGTGAATAGAAATAGCGTTTTGTTTCTGTGCAGGAAGAGGAGTGAGAGAATGGAAAATGCATTGTCCAGCATGAATGAGGCTGARCTTTTCCCTGGATGCGTTAGCTTTTATTTGCATTGTGTTGGAGAAACGGTAAAGTTTTGCATTTAGGATCTTTGTCTATAGTTTGGAGCTGCTTTCACTTAAGAACAATGTTTCTCTAGTTTCCAAGAAAAACAATTTCTGTAAATGTTCCTTGTCCAGCAACACTGATTCCCACTGCTCACGTGTGTTGGATCACTTTCTCCACCACARTGCTCTAAGCCCTTGCTTACTTAGGTAAATCATGCTCTGAAATTAGGACAAAGCTTTGGCTGGGTCAGTGCTTTTTCTGCTGCTTTCTGTTGGTTCTGGACTTCTCACTCAGAGCTATATTGTTGTTTCCTYGGCTTCAGAACTCACTGACTCCATCACAGAATTTTTTTCCCTTAAATCTTGGTATTCGTTTTAATATCACAGTATATAAAAATAAACAGATGAAGAGATATTTTGGTCCTGTCTAGGAATTGTTTAACAGCCATATTCTGAGCTACATRTTTGAGACAGGTAAAAAGTGAAAATAATGCAACCTTTAAGGGATCATTATAAAGGGGATGTTCTTTATTGGTGGATTGGGTAGGTTATCCCTTGTAACAACTCTTAGGTTCYGGAGGGTATCCCATTTTATTTCCTTTCCTGTTGCTATTCTACTTTTCTATCCTCATTTTTCTGTTTCCCATGCCCATAATTTTCTCTGAAAAAGCAAAATGAAAGAAGTGGTTCAGTACATTCCAGAAATTAAAGCTGCCTTTTGCACATGCTTTGGAATGAAAGCTTCTTGCACTTGGTTTGTTTTGGGTTGGGAGTTGTACTCTTTCTGACCTTTTRCAATTGGTCTTTCAAGCTAACGCTGTGAATCATTAACAAAATAAAACTGAGAAAATGTGTAAAAACTTGTTTTAATGATTTACACTAAATGCATCATTTAGACATTTTCATATTCACTTAGAATAGGCCTCAGTTTGGACTWCTGTTCACAGGGTCACAAGGGAGTGGGCTTTAGTCATTGTAATTTTGCAACATGGCTGCAATTTGAGTCGGTGATTTTGAATGTTCGACAACAAGAATATTACTCCATTTGGGTTATTATTCAGGCAAGAAAAGTAAGTTTCTAAGTCAGTTTGTTAAAAACCAGGTATGTATTAGTCAGCACTAGTTCCTGGGAGCTTCTGAGTGCTTCTGAGAAAATCAAGAAGAGCACAGCCCTGGTGCTGTTCCTTGAGGCTGAGGCCTAATGAGCATTTCTCAATGTGGCTGGGGTGGGGTGCAGCACCACAATCCACCCCGTGACTAAAGGCAGCTTCTCTGGGCACCCACACAACCCAGGCTGTGCTACAGCCTTGGGACAGAGAGGCTGGAAAAATRCATGGTGGAAAGGGGGGCGTTCATCAACAGTGGCTGAACATGARCCAGGGTGTGCCCAGGTGGCCAAGAAGGCCAATGGCATCCTGGCCTGGATCAGCAATGGTGTGGCCAGCAGGAGCAGGGCAGGGATTGTCCCCCTGTCCTGGGCACTGCTGAGGCCACACCTCGAGGGCTGTGTCCAGTTCTGGGCCCCTCCCTGCAGGAAGGAACTGAGGGGCTGCAGCGAGTCCAGAGAAGGCAACGGAGCTGGGGAAGGGTCTGGAGCACAAATCCTGTGAGGAGCAGCTGAGGGAGCTGGGGGTGTTCAGCCTGGAGAAAAGGAGGCTCAGAGTGACCTCATCGCTCCCTGAACTGCCTGGAAGGTGGGAGTTGGTCTCTTCTCCCAAGTAACATGTAGTGGGACGAGAGGAAATGGCCTCAAATTGTGATAGGGAGGGTATGGATGGATATTAGGAARAACTCCTCCACTAAAAGGCTTGTCAAGCACTGGATCAGACTGTCCAGGGAAGCTGAAGCCACCAACCTCAGGGGTATTTAAAAGATGCGTGGATGTGGCTCTTGGGGGTCATAGCTAAACGGTGAACTTGGCAGTGCTGGGTCAAGAGTTGGACTCTGTGATCTTACAAGCACCTTGAACCTGGAGAAGWCTGTGATTCTATAGTGTGCCTTCTAAACATAATTCACTGTGCTGATATTATATTTTTCCCCAGGGCAGAGAGGAGCTGAGAACTTGAGTTCTGAAATCTGATCAGACTTTTTGTAGGTCCATACCATTCCTAAACACAAAGGTTACATTAGAGGTGCCTCTGTGCTTTTMTAACCTACTTAACACATTCATGTCTAGCTTGTTCAGGGCTTCTTATCAGCTAGTTTTCCATTTGATCTCCACTCCAGCTTTTTCCTTCTCCYGAAAGGTTGCTAGACCTTACATGAGGAGGTGTTCAGCTGCCATATATAATGCATCCTTGCTGTGAGAACAAAATTAGATGGCCAATGGAAAGTGTATTTTGCTATTTCTTTACCCACTCTGATTTTTCCAATATGKTGTGCATGCACAGCTAAGGAAAACTGAAGTGCACTCACTTGCCTTCTCTAGTGTTTCCACAAGCAGAACACCTTCAGATGTAGACTTTTAAGGAAAGGAAAGGAGTTGATCCTGTTGCTGCTGCAAGTTGGTGTGGCTGCAGCAGAAGTGATGCCGGTACACAGATACACACACATCATATGGATATACACTTATGCATCTATGCAGCTACACTGATCTGAGAAAYACCTTTGAAGTGCTTGTGTCCACCTGAGCGTATTCACATGTGCATTTGCCTGAGCCCAGACACTGAGAGGTTTCACAGTTAACCGAGTTTGCAGCAACACTTGCAGAGAAGGAGGGTGTTCATGTGATTTATATTGCTGTGTAGTGCCATTGGCCAGCACAGATGGAGTTACAGTTACATTGTGATATGGTCATAAAAGTGAGATTTTGTCTGGTGTTTTTTTGCAGCTGAATGGTACCGAATCCTTTGGCCTTGTATTGTCAGGGATTAGAAATATTACAAAAAAAAGATAATGAGTCAACTGAAGTTCTATCTTAAAGAAATCTCAGATTTAAATTCTGAAGGCTCCCTTGATGAATTTGAGGAAGGGACCTTTGTTATAACAGGGATTTTATGTATCAGGTTGTAAGATTTTAGCTTTGAACRTATAGATGTCAAAATACAAAATACTGAAGATTTAACAGCACAATATTTGGGAAGTTTTTTATGTAACAAGCAGTGCAATTCTAAATCTCAGTGATCACACAGAACAGTGATTTAARTTAAAAAATCATATTCTTTAGGATTGTAAGAGATAATTTGTGACTGTATAGTCAATAGCTTTATCTTTCATTAGCAGCTATTCTGAAATAGATATCCTACTAAAGATCACTCGTAAATAACGCATAGTGCTTATATGCCATAAATTATTTAAGACTATATRAAAGCTTCTTGTAAACAGATGAAATGGATGCTAATTACCTCTAATGTCTCAGTTACTCTGCTGTTGTATCTATGTACTACAAAGACAGTGAAAGGTTTGTTCTACTGCTCTGTGTGAATGTCTGGCATACTCATGGCAGGAAGCAGGGCATTTTGTCACTAATAACTCCTGAGKCTGTGAGAACATGGGCTTATTGCAAGTTCAGGTAGTTGTTAATTGCAGCCTCTTCTGCCTCCTGGCAAGACAAAAGTAAAATATACAGTGATCTTATGGCCTTTCTGTGGAAGGGCTATTTACTGGAAAATGTGCTACTCTTGCCTCAAAAGTAAAGCATGCCTAAAGGAATTTATGTGTCCTGTGAACAAAGGTTGACAGCTGTAAACGGAGCTGACAAGAAGTCATGAAGGATTGTTTTTGTAGCATGACCTGTTCTTAGTCATACTGTTTATTAGACATATTTATTCTAAAATACTCTTTGTACCCTTCTTGCGTACATGTCGTGTCTTGCAGTCTGAGAATTTATGAAGAAGGCTCTGAGCAAAACAGCGTCATTTTCATCCATTAAGTCTTTCTTCATACTACTTTGCAGAAATTATTTTCCAAGTATTTGACAAAAATGTAATTACTTTAGTAAACGTGGATTAATTTGCTTCTCTTTTACTGGGCTTTCTAATGATTATTTTGTTTGCCTTTTTTCTCAAGAGTAAAGAGGAATTCTACTGCTGCCTTGCTGTTTAATTTAAAACTACTGTGTTATCTAAGTCTTTTGAACTCAGAACATGAAGAGTGACAATCCAAAAATGGGACCAGATGTTTGACTAACATATTCTTCTGTGAATCGAGATTTTTTTTTTTTTTTAAAAAAAGAAACAATTCTTTAAAACATGAACAGAAACAGATGTGCATACTTATGCTCTAGATTTATCCTCCTAACAGTATCGTAATAGGACACTTGGAAAGTAAACAGTGATCATTTAGTGCTGCCCACTTGTAAGAGAGCCAAGAAATAATGAATGGCTTGAAACAACTGAGGTGTGAGTGTTTGGAGGGGGAACGGGGCATGTTCTTGGTAGGCGGTGCGGTGCACTGCT